GAAGAAAAATTATTTTTCTTAACCTCGGAGGATAGGACAAGAAGCAACGGACTTAAATTGCAGCAAGGGCGGTTTAGGTTGGACATTAGGAAAAACTTCCGACATGTCCGGGCGGTTGAGCACTGGAATAAATTGCCCAGGGAGGTTGTGGAGTCTCCATCACTGGGGAGTTTTAAGAGCAGGTGGGACAAACACCTGTCGGGGGTGGTCTAGATAATTAGTCCTGCCACGAGTGCAGGGGACTGGACTAGATACCTCACCAGGACCCTTCCAGTTCTGTGATTCTATGACCCTTTGAAGGCAGGCCAGCTCCATTGGGAGCTGGCCTTCCCCATGAACCAAGACGCAGGTCCAATCCCTTCCTGGTCTGGCCAGCTATTACCAGAGGTTTGTGAGGCGGTTTAGTGAAAGTGTAACAGAGCACCGAACCAAAGGGACCAACCAGGAGGTTATGCTGGCGCTGAGTCTGCAGCAGTCGGATGTGGAAACAGGCCACACCAAGGGGAAACGAACTGTAGCGGCAGACAGGGCTCGGGGCGTATTCAGGAGGGTCAGTGACACCCCTTCCCACACCAGTTTTGCACTGGGGGTGTGGTGGGGGCACAGCAGGTGCCAGCTCAGCCACGGTCCCCATGTCGCAACTGAACACTGACAAACGCCCGGCTGGGGTCAGTCTGGTTCTGGGGGTTAACGAGGACAGGTGTTTGGCCTTGGGTAGCACCAACGGCCATGCAGAGCCTGCTTCTCATAGGAACCTCTGTCACCTTTGGGAACTTCTGACTGGCACTTGTATGCGTGTGGCCCAGCGTTACTCGGGGAGTAACTCCCTGCTTAATAAACCGTAGGTGGCTTGTTGTAGGACTGGCTACAAGCGTTGTCTCTGGGGTGAGATCTAAGGTGCAACTGACCTGGGGTGAGTGAGGACAGGGAGTAACTGGCTTGTTGCTGTGATTCGGGGACAGACTGGAGCACCCCAAGAGGCTGTCCGTGACTCCATGGCAAGGCTGTTTCGATGCCGGAGGAGCTTATAGTCAATACTTGGTTGGTGAAATGTTAAGTACAGAACTCAGTGCCTTTGAGGTTTGGGCCCTGGTTCTTAACAGTCTGCCCTCAGAGTGGTACCCATGCTCAAGTCACTGCAGACCAGCCTGACAGGCAGGAGTCCTGGCTCCCAGTCCCCTCCATCCCCTCTTCTGACTCATTAGACCCATTCCCATCCCAGAGCCTGGGAAAGAACCCAGGAGTCCTGGCTCCCAGTCCCCACACTCACTCTTGTTTTCTGTCTGCATCCGCTCATGTGTTTTCTGGATGTTGACTAGGTTGTGCTCGCTCCGCGACCGCTCCTCCTGGGGGCACAGAGGGAAGGGGATAAGGGGTGGGGTCCTGTGGCTCCCTGTCACAGAGAAGGGGCAGGTGGCCCCAAGGCCCACCTCCAACCAAACGAGACGGTTCCCCTAAGATGACTCCCTCATCCCAGTGACCTCTGAGGCTGGCGGGGCTGCCCAGTCAATCCCAGAGAAAAACAAGAAGGCATCCCACTTCTGGAAGCCCCGGGGCGTGCCGGGAAGGCCCCTCGGCCCCGAGCGCCCGCCAGCCCCGGGGCGTGCCGGGAAGGCCCGCCGGCCCCGGGGCGTGCCGGGAAGGCCCGCCGGCCCCGGGGCGTGCCGGGAAGGCCCGCCGGCCCCGGGGCGTGCCGGGAAGGCCCGCCGCCCCGGGCGTGCCGGGAAGGCCCGCCGGCCCCGGGGCGTGCCGGGAAGGCCCGCCGGCCCCGGGGCGTGCCGGGAAGGCCCGCCGGCCCCGGGGCGTGCCGGGAAGGCCCGCCGGCCCCGGGGCGTGCCGGGAAGGCCCGCCGGCCCCGGGGCGTGCCGGGAAGGCCCCCGGGGACACACTACCTGTGTCTGTTTGATGAGCTGGTGCAGCTCCCCCAGGAGCTCCGCGATGCGCGAGTCAGCCGACACCAGAGCCATGGTGGCTGCAGGGGAACGAAGAGAATTAGCCACTGGAGTAGCCCCCCCCCGCCACCCACTGTAGAAACTACCCCCAAATCTCAGCCCCTCCCATGCAGACTCCCATGATCCTCAAGCGGGGGAGGGGAGGGGAGGGGAGGGAACTGATGGAAGCTGCAAGAATGCCCTGGGCAGGAGAAGGCAGAGAAGAAGACGCCCCCGGCGGGCCCTGGGGCCAGGGCAGGAGCGGGGGGGGGGGGAACGACACCCCCGGCTGGCTGGGGCCGGAATTGTACCCCCCCACCTACCACGCATGCGCAGCTGCAAGTGAGGGGAGAACTCCCGCCTTTTTTGCCTCCCAAAGGCGCATGCGCAGCTCAAGCAGCTTGAGGCGCTTTTCCTAACGTCCAAGGGGCCCAGCCCGTGACGCACGCGGACATTCCGTCTCGCGCCAATCCCGCCACCTGGGGCGCATGCGCATTCTCCATGCCACGGCGTGCTTTGCTTCCGGCGCATGCGCGCTGTCTGATTTACATGCCGCCCTCCCGCCCCCCGCGGCCGCGGCCTCTGCCTACGAAATCCCCGAGGTCGACCGCTCCCGTGGCCGGAGTCCCGCACCCGCCGCAGGGCACCGTACCGAGGCCGGACGAGGACCCTGGGAGGTGCTGACGACAGCGCTGAGGCTCCGGGGCGGTGCAAGGTGAAAGGCACGCACTACGCATGCTCGCGGTAGTGCGGCGCCTCATGGGACGTGTAGTTTCCAGGCGTGCGAGGGGATTCCGACGCATGCGCCTTTGTCTCCCCGCGTGAGGGGCGAGATGGGAACGAGGGCGCGTTGCCTCTTGGGGTTTGTAGTTCACACCGCCAGGGCCGCGCATGCGCACGGTTCAAAAAGGCGCCTGCCAGGCCCTGGGCGCCATCGCCTGCTGGAGCACGTGACCCGCCCGGTCCCAGGGCTTGGCCCCGCCCCGTCGGGGGGTCGAGTGACCGGCCGCGTCATGCTCAGTCCGGGGGGCCGGCGCGGGGGGCTCTGTGCCCGGGGGGCGCCTGGCTCGGGGGGGGCGGGGACAGCGGGGCCCTGGCTCTGGGGGGGGGGGGCGGCGGGGGTCTCTGTGCCCGGGGGGCCCTGGCTCTGGGGGGGCGGCGCGGGGGGCTCTGTGCCCGGGGGGCGCCTGGCTCGGGGGGGGCGGGGGGGGCCCGGGGGCCCTGGCTCTGGGGGGGGCAGCGCGGGGGGCTCTGTGCCCGGGGGGCGCCTGGCTCTGGGGGGGCGGGGACTGTGGGGCCCTGGCTCTGGGGGGGGGGGCGCCTGGCTCTGGGGGGGGCGGCGCGGGGGGCTCTGTGCCCGGGGGGCGCCTGGCTCTGGGGGGGCGGGGACTGTGCGGCCCGGTGGGGGGGGGGGGCCTGGCTCGGGGGGGGCGGCGCGGGGGGCTCTGTGCCCGGGGGGCGCCTGGCTCTGGGGGGGGGCTCTGTGCGCGGGGGGCGCCTGGCTCTGGGGGGGGCGGCGCGGGGGGCTCTGTGCCCGGGGGCGCCTGGCTCTGGGGGGGGCAGCGCGGGGGGCTCTGTGCCCGGGGGGCGCCTGGCTCTGGGGGGGGCTCTGTGCGCGGGGGGCGCCTGGCTCGGGGGGGGGGCGCGGGGGGCTCTGTGCCCGGGGGGCGCCTGGCTCTGGGGGGGGGCTCTGTGCGCGGGGGCGCCTGGCTCTGGGGGGGGCGGCGCGGGGGGCTCTGTGCCCGGGGGGCGCCTGGCTCTGGGGGGGCAGCGCGGGGGGCTCTGTGCCCGGGGGGCGCCTGGCTCTGGGGGGGGCAGCGCGGGGGGCGCCTGGCTCGGGGGGGGGGCGGCGCGGGGGGCTCTGTGCGCGGGGGGCGCCTGGCTCTGGGGGGGGCGGCGCGGGGGGCTCTGTGCCCGGGGGGCGCCTGGCTCTGGGGGGGGCAGCGCGGGGGGCTCTGTGCCCGGGGGGCGCCTGGCTCTGGGGGGGGGCGGCGCGGGGGCTCTGTGCGCGGGGGGCGCCTGGCTCGGGGGGGGCGGGGACACTGAGTCCGCAGCGGCCTCTGCTCCCGGCTCCGTGTGTCTTGGGGCCCGGCCAGCGCCCGGCGCAGGTGGAAAATCCCCAGCACGAGGCCGGGTTAGCGGGTCCGGACCTCGCCCCCCCCCCAGTCCCCAAAACACAGCACCCCCCACCCAGGCGGGCCAGAACTGCGGGGCGGGGGGGAATGAGGGGCGGGAGTGAGGGGCCCCGGCGGGGCGGGGGGGTATGAGGGGCGGGAGTGAGGGGCCCCGGCAGGGCTGGGGGGAGGGGGGTTGTGGGGTGGGAGTGAGGGGCCCCGGCAGGGCTGGGGGAGGGGGGTATGAGGGGCGGGAGTGAGGGGCCCCGGCGGGGCGGGGGGTATGAGGGGCGGGAGTGAGGGGCCCCGGCGGGGCTGGGGGGGTATGAGGGGCGGGAGTGAGGGGCCCCGGCGGGGCTGGGGGGTATGAGGGGCGGGAGTGAGGGGCCCCGGCGGGGCGGGGGGGGTATGAGGGGCGGGAGTGAGGGGCCCCGGCGGGGCTGGGGGGGTATGAGGGGCAAGAGTGAGGGGCCCCGGCGGGGCTGGGGGGGTATGAGGGGCGGGAGTGAGGGGCCCCGGCGGGGCGGGGGGGGTATGAGGGGCGGGAGTGAGGGGCCCCGGCGGGGCAGGGGGTATGAGGGGCGGGAGTGAGGGGCCCCGGCAGGGCGGGGGGGGTATGAGGGGCGGGAGTGAGGGGCCCCGGCGGGGCGGGGGGGTATGAGGGGCGGGAGTGAGGGGCCCCGGCAGGGCTGGGGGGGTATGAGGGGCGGGAGTGAGGGGCCCCGGCAGGGCGGGGGGGGTATGAGGGGCGGGAGTGAGGGGCCCCGGCAGGGCGGGGGGGGTATGAGGGGCGGGAGTGAGGGGCCCCGGCGGGGCGGGGGGGGTATGAGGGGGGTGTGATGTCAGTGTTGTTTTTGCTGGCGGGCCCATCACGTGCTCGGGTCCCTCCCCCGGAGGCGGGGGGCGGGGGGATGATGCAATCCTGGGTGCGGTGGCAATAAAAGGGGGGCCGGCGTGGGGTGGAAAACAAGTGCGGACGGACAGACGCTCCCTGCACCAGGCACAGACGTCCCAGGACAGAGCCATGGCCGGGGCCCTGCTGGAGCCCCACAAGCTGGTCCCCACCCCCTTCGAGGGGCAGCACTTCGACCCCTACGACTACTACAGCCTGACCGAGCGCTACAGCAGTGAGTGCCCCCCACGCCGTGCCCCACACCCTGCCCCACACCCTGCCCCACAGCTCCCGGCCGTCCTGCCCTGCAGCCCCCTCAGCCCTGCCGGCGCCCCCCACTCCCAGCCTAGGCTCTCCTGCTCCCTGACCCCACACTGGGGCTGCTCTCCACGGGGCGGTGGGGTTCCCTGCTGCGTTCCGGATCCCTTCTCCAGTGGGACTGGAAATGGGGAGGACGGAGGCAGGGGGCTCACAGCCTCCTCTCTGCCCCTCTGCATGCGCCCCCCAGGGGTTGTGGGGGAGGGGGCACAGGGGCTTTTCTCCCCCCCACTCACCTCCTCTGATGAAGTGGGACTGTTCTTAATGTTTCCTCTGAATACTGTGGGGGTGCCTCAGTTTCCCCATGGCTAGGTGGGGCGATAAGGGGGTGTGATTGCAGAGCCCTAGCCCAGGGGTTCTCAGGCTTTTGTCCTGGTGACCCCTTTCACCCTGACACGCTGAAAGCACTTCTGAATATATTTAACTCCATTATAAATGCTGGAGGCCAAGCAGGGTTTGGGGTGGGGGCCGACAGCTCACAACCCCCCCCCCCAGTAACCTCGTGATCCCCTGAGGGTCCCGACCCCCAGTTTGAGAACCAACTTCTCATGGCGCTGGTGGGTGCTTGTGCCCCCAGGCTCTGCCCCATTCCAACCCCTTCCCCAAAGTGCCCACCCCCTCCCTGCCCCTAGTGGGCCCCTCCCCAAATCCCCGCCCTGGCTCCACCTCCTCCCTGCCCCCCACGGCTTGGCACGTGAAACAGCTGTTTGGTGGCTGGAGCTCGGGGGAGGAGGCGGAGGTGAGCTGGGGCGGGAGCTGCCGGGTGGAGACGGGCTGTGGGGGGGCTCCAAGGGAAGCTGCTCCACGCCCCCCCCGCAGCGATATCCCCATCCACACAGATGCCCGCAGGAGTGGCAGCCATCCTGCCCCAGAGCACCCACGGCGTCGCGCCCCTGCCCGAGAGGGCGAGTGCGAGGTGTCTGCACAGAGTCTCCTGGGCCCCTCCCTGCAAGGTGCCAGCTGAAGGGGCTGGAGAACAAAGGGGTCCGGGGACGGGAGAGGCAAAGGCCCGAGGGTCGGTCTGGAGCTGGCTGGGGAAAGGGGGAGGGAGGCCCGGGGGGGGTCTGGGCTCCCCACCCCCCAAGACGGACCTGACTGAGGGGTCCTGGTCTCTGTACCTACAAGCTCTGTTGGGGCCTGTGTCCTTCTGTGTTCCTGGCTGGCTGTGAATCACAGGAAGTGGGGGGCAGGGCCCTGACTCCCCGACGCTCCGTGACACCCCCTTCTCTCCCCGCAGTGCCGGGCGGGTGCAGCCGGAAGGGCCGCTCCAAGCGGGAGGCCGCTGGGAACACGAACCGGCCCAACCCCGCCGGCCACGAGCGCAAGATCACCCTGAAACTGCAGCGCTCCGAGCGCCGGCGTGGCCAGGAGTGAGTCCCACGGTGAGAGCCGCCCCGGGCCGGACAGGGGAGGGGGGCAAGGTGGACAGGGCAGGGGGAGGGGGGAAAAGGGGGGGCCAGGTGGGGGGGCCAGGGGGCAGGGAGGTAAAGGGGGGCTGGGCAGGCAGGATGGTTGCCACTCCTGCTGGGCATCTGTGTGGATGGGGATATCACTGGGGGGGGGGGGGTTTGAGCAGCTTCCCTTGGAGCCCCCCCTCACATCCCGTCTCCCCCCCAGCTCTGATCCTCCCAAGCGAACCTGGTTCCAGACTCAACGGCAACGCCACACGGACACAGAGACTAGCCAGCCGGACGGACGCCCCCTGCCAAGATGGCCGACGCCCAGCGGGGAGGAGGGCGCCAGGCGGCCATGCTGAGACTCCTGCCATGGCAGCCCAGGCCTCTCGTAACAGGCCCCCGTGGGGAGGAGCGGTGAGGGGGCCCTAAGCGGCCTCGCTGGTGGGGGGGGGGGATTTGGCTCATTGCCAGCGGGGAAGAGAGGAGGGAACTGTGGGGTGAGGGTGAAGGGGGGGCACCGAGGGGGTAGGTCTGTTTCTCCCCCCCCCCCCCCCCAATAAAGACACTTAACATCTGCATGGCTGATGGGGCTTTGCCTGAGGGGAGGGGAAACTGGCCTCTCAAGAACGGGGCAGACAGGGCCATGAGGGGGGCTGCTCCCCACGGAATGGGGGACATGCCCCTCAACTCCCCCATGGGCCCCACTGAGCCCTGTGGGGGTGGTAGATGGCGGGTACGAGACATTTATCCTAGTGGAGCATTTAATGCTGCAGCTGCTGCTGGGGGCCCCCAGAGCCCCCCGGGGGCTGGGGGATTAGAGGGCCTGGATCTGGGAGGCCCAGCTGGGAAGCAGCATTGGCACTGACGACATCACTTCCTGTCACGAGGGGGGCCATCTTGGAACTCACGCCAAGGGGCGCAGCATCGCTTCCTGCTGCCGAGCTCGGCCACGGCCCATCAGTGGGGCAGCCCTTTTGAAAGTCATAGCAGGCGATTTCCTCCCCCCCCCACATGATTTTAGGGTGACCCTGGGGCCGGCCCCCCCGCCCAACTAGCTCGGGGAGGGTACAACAACTCCCAGCATCCTTTGCAGCTGGGGGGGAAGAGGCTCACAGCCTATTAACTGTAGCTCTGCCCCCAGGGAGGGGTTCGGTGATAACTGTGCCCCCCCCGGGCAGCTGTCAGTCATGTGCTGAAGGCACTAACTGGGGGGCTCTGCCCCCTCTGTAGTGGGGTGGCTGGTGCTGGCTATACCAACCAATCAGAGGCTCCCGGGTGTCTGGAGTCATCCAATCATGGTGAAGGGAGGACCCAGGGGTGCATCCCAGGCCAGCACAGCTGTGGGTGGCCCCATCCAATCACAAACAGCACCTCTCCAGAGCTAGCAGAATCGGCCAATGAGAGATGAGGGGGCAGAGGCCTCAGACATGCCACCCAATGAGAGGACAGCACTCGGGGGAGGGAGGGGCAGGAGGCAGGGGGAGGGGCAGCTGTGGGGGGAGGGCCCCCCCCAGCACTGGGGGGAGCTAGTAGGGAGGACACCATGGGGCAGGAGTCCCGCTCCCAGCATGCACTGGGGCAACCCGTAGCGCTGCTCCACTGAGGTCCTGCACCCCAATGCTCTGGCAGGTACTCCTCAGCCAGCGGCCTAGGGGAGAGATCGGGGGTTACCCACAATGCCCTGGGAGCACCTGCCCCCTGCTGCCCACGCTCCCCCCAGAAACACTCCTCCCCCTTGACCCACACTGCCCAGGGAGCTCCTGCCCAACCCCCTAAACTCCGCCCCCTTTGTGTTACCCCACCCACATCCCCTGCCCCTCCCCAAGGCAGCTTCCCAAACCCCTGCAACAGACTCCCCCATAATCCCCTGCCCCATAACAGAACCCTCCCAGATAGCTCCACCCCAGCCCCTGCCCTCTCCCTTGCAGACCTGCCCGCAGGGGTCTCACCGAACCAGAGGAGGGCGCTGTCTCCGTGCTCGGTCACCGGGGGGAGGTGCTTCTGCTTGGAGGTGCAGACTGGGAGGGGGCAGGACATGGGGCGCTGGCTCCCACCCGCCCCAAACGGGGGGGCGGCCGTCTGGCCCAGAGGAGGGTGGACCCTGGCCATCTTCTCTCACCAGCTGATGGTTCCAGTGGTTCCCCATCACCCTCTGGCTGCCCACCCCCTGGGCACATGGCAGCCCCATAGCTCATGCTCCTGGCCAGCCAGGCCATGGGGGGCAGTGGGGGAGGGGCTCCCGGGGGGGAAGTGACATGTTCTCAGCCCAGGGCCGGCGCCTTGGGCGGTCACATGGGGTGGGGGGGGCGCAAGGGGTCCGGGGAGACGGAATCTTATAGGAACTGTAGGTCTGTGGCGTCCCCATAAGGCCATGCGGGCCAAACCCGGAAGCCCTGAACCACGCCCCCCAGGAGCCTCTGTGCCCCCATGGGGCTGTTCCGCAAAGCACACTGGGCAATGTAGTCCAGTGCCCCCTCCCTCAGGGCTCCCAGCAGGCCAGGCACCCCTTGGAGAATTGGGGGGCCGTGGGCATTGCTGTGGGAAGCTCACGTGCAGAGCCCCTCTCCCACTCCAGGCCTGGGGTCGGGGGGTGGGGGGTCAGTGAGCCAGTGGTTCGTTCTGCGTCATTGTTTATTTCAGGGGAACAACCGTTGCTGTCCCCGGGGGGGGCCCGGCCACGTGGGGGCCCGACCCGCCGCGTGAGCGTCACTGGGGAGGGGCTGCGCCAGGGGGCCCCGCTGCCCCCTCAGAGCCGGGTGCAGAAACGCAGGTCACTCCCCTCCAGCCGCCGGGCCCATTCGGCGTCGAATCGCTCACTCTGCGCCACCGTGAACTGGGTCGTCCAGTCGCCCACCAAGCCTGAGGGGAGAGAGTCCGGGCTCATAGCGACCCCCCCACCCCCCAGAGCTGGGCGAGAACCCAGGCGTCTGGGCTCACAGCAACCCCCCCCCCCCCCGCCCAGGCATCTGGGCTCACAGTGACCCCCCAGAGCTGGGCGAGAACCCAGGCGTCCGGGCTCCCAGCCCCCACCTTTGCGTATGAAGCAGGACACGGCCTGGTCCATGACGAAGGTGGGCAGCGTGCTGTAGTTGGCCATGGGGTTCTCCCTCATCCTCTCGAATGACGTGTGCTCGACGATCGTCTCCAGAACCGGCTCTGGCAACTCCCGGCCCAAGAACCGACCCACCTTCTGGATCTCACCTCTCGGGTCCTGGTGGAGAGACAGGACACTGCTGTGGGGAAGCTCGCAGCGCAGGGGAGCCCGGTGGGGGGAGCTCGCAGTGTCGGTGTGAAGGAGCAGGGAGTGGGGCGGATTGACCAGGGGATGTTGTCAGGGAGTTTTACTGGGACTGTCTGCATGGGGGATGGGATAGCAGCGGGGGCTTCACCGGAGGGACGATAGCTGAGCAGGTAAGATGAGAGCCCAGGATGGGGGTGCAGGGCCATGACTCCCCCACACTCCATCCAGGAGGGCCCTGGGGCCAGGTGACACCTTCTGTCCGGGAAACTGGACAAAGGCTGGAGGAGGAGCCGGGGGGAGGCTGGAGGAGATGTCTGGAGGGGGTTTCAGTTTGGAGCTGGCTGGGGAAATGGAGGGAGACCTGGGACCAGGGTCCAAGCTCCCTGCCCCCCAAGATGGACCCAGCTGAGGGGTCCTGTTCTCTGCACCTACAAGTTCTGGTTTAGACCATGTTCCTGTCGTCTAATAAACCTCCTGTGTTACTGGCTGACTGAGAGTCACGGTGAATCGCAGGAAGTGTGCGGTGCAGGGCCCGGACTCCCCCACACTTCATGACAGTTGGAGAAGCTCGGATGGGGGCACTGCTGGAGGAAAGATCGCAGCGTTGGGGGGAGCCCGTCTGGGGGCACTGCTGGGGGAAAGATCGCAGTGTCAGGGAAACTTGGATGGGGGCACTGCTGGGGAGAAGATCGCAGCACCAGAAGAGCCCGGCTGGGGGCACTGCTCAGGGGAAGCTCGCAGCGCTCACCTTCTTGATATCTTCGTAGAAGAGGTAGAGGATTCGGTGCTTGTCCCTCGCGTCCCACCAGGCGCGGACGTGGTCGAACCAGGAGCCCCAAGGCACTGTCAGAGAGGTGGGGGTCAGGCTGGGCTGGGGGACTCCAGGGTGGGAAGTGGGGGCCCAGCAGGAGGTGCTGTCCCTGGGGCTGGGCCTGCCAGGTTCACTCACCTCTCCCAGCCAGAAAGGTCTCTAGATACTGGTCCCAGCTGCCCGGGTCCGGGAGCGCCTGGTTCATCCGCTGGAAATGGAAATAGGAGACGGCGCTGTCCTTGGGGTTACGGGCCACGTAGATCACCTGCGGGGAGAGAGAACAGGGAGAGAACCCAGGCGTCCTGACTCCCCCTGTCCCCCCTTTAACCTCCAGCCGCCGCCCCTCCCAGGAGAGAACCCAGGCATCCTGACCTTACAATCCTGCTCCCAGAAGGAGGGGGGCACCAGCTCCAGGGGCAGGTGGGTTTTCAGGGTCCGTGGGGGAGGCATCGCGGCAGCCGCCTCAAACCCTGAACCAGACGGGGGCACCGGTGAGTGGGGCCTGGACCCCAAGACATGAGCCCCTCCCCGCCCCCTCCCCTGCCCCCTGTGGCAGGGCCCCCTCGGGCTGTCTCACCAGATGGGAGGGGGCGGGGCGGGCAGAGCTCCAGGAAGGGGATGCGCTGGTAAATGGGGGCGCGGTAGCACTTCTGGGGGTCCCCGTCCTGCTGGATCATGTCCACGATCTCCTGAATCCACGTGGTGCCTGGCAGAGATGAGAGACCTCAGCCCGGCTGGTGCCCCTCACTCCCGACCCGCAGCCCCCCAGCGCCCCTCACTCCCGACCCGCAGCCCCCCGGGGCCCCTCACTCCCGACCCGCAGCCCCCCGGGGTCCCCCAGTGCCCCTCACTCCCGACCTACAGCCCCCCAGCCCCCCCCCCTCCCCCGACCCCCAGCCCCCCCCGGGCCCCCTCACTCCCGACCCGCAGCCCCCAAGCTGCCCCCCTCACTCCCGACCCGCAGCCCCCTGGGGCCCCTCACTCCCGACCCGCAGCCCCCCAGCCCCCCCGGGCCCCCCTCACTCCCGACCCCAGCCCCCAGCCCCCCCGGGGCCCCTCACTCCCGACCCGCAGCCCCCCAGCTCCCCCACTCCCACCCAAACCCTCTCTCCCGACCCGCAGCCCCCAGCCCCCTCACTCCCGACCCACAGACCCGCAGCCCCCTGGGGCCCCTCACTCCCCGACCCGCAGCCCCCCAGCCCCCCCACTCCCGACCCAGAGACCGGCTCTCTCCCGACCCGCAGCCCCCCAGCCCCCTCACTCCTGACCCACAGACCCGCAGCCCCCGTCCCCACCCACCCGCCTTGGGGTAGGTGCAGATCAGGAGGTCGTCGGGCCGGGCCTGGAAGCCCCATATCCGCCCCCACAGCTGCGCCGTGTCGCTGGGCAGCGGGACCCCCCGGACGGCCGCCAGCCGGCAGCGAGTGACCATGTCGGGGGTCAGGAGCGGGACCGGCTCGGCCTGGGCCATGGGGGGCTGGAGGGGAGAGATCGGGGTCGCCTGGGCCCGCTGCTCCCACGCCGCC